CTTGCTATGCAGTTCAGGCTGGCTTTGAGCTCACTTTGTAGCCCAGGCTGGTCTTGAACTCGCAGTGATCCTCCTGCCTCAGCCTCGGCGAGTGCTGGGATTACAGGCATGCACCACCACACCCGGCTCAGAATTTGAGATTTAAAAAAAATTTTTTTTTTGTCTTTTTGAGACAGGGTCTCCCTATGCAGTTCAGGCTGGTCTTGAACTCACCTTGTAGCCCAGGCTGGCCTCAAACTTACAACAGTCCTCCTGCCTCAGCCTCCCAAGTGCTGGGATTACAGGTGTGCACCACCATGCCTGACCCTGATGCCCAAAATTAACGAAGGAAAGGTTTATTTAGCTTACAGTTTGTGGAGGTTCCAGTCCATATGTGGTTGGCTCCAAGGCAGAGTGACACGTGACAGAGGGCAACAGTTCATGGCAGCAGAAAACAGGAAAAGCAGCAAGAGCGAAAAGGGGGGAGCAGCAGAGAGCAAGCCTCTTTCCCTCCCTTATTTTGTATACACGCTACTTGCCCCAGGGTGGATGTAGTACTCACACCCATACTCCCAGCACTGAACCATGAATCAATAAAAAATTCTTGGGGTTGCATCTTGTTTAAGTGTCTTCTCATCTCCCCCTTTCTTATTTATTTATTATTTTTTCTTGTCTTTTTGAGACAGGATCTTGCTATGCAGTTCAGGCTGGCCTTGTGCTCGCTTTGTAGTCCAGGCTGGTCTTGAACTTGCAATGATCCTCCTGCCTCAGCCTCCTGAGTGCTGGGATTACAGGCATGTGCCACCATGCCCAGCTCGCCCCCCTCCCCCGCCGCCTTTTTTAGTTTATTTGCTGGGGTGATGTTTGTAAATTGCCTATTGTGCCTTGCTTTATTGCTAGTATTTAGACCCCTTAGGAAATGACTACTTCTCTGAAGCATGTGTAGCTGGTTTTTGGATTTTGAGTCTGTCGCAAGATTCTGCCTCTTCAGTTTGTTGGGGATGAGAAGTTGCTGCCTGCTTGGCCCAGCCCCTGGGTCTTTGGCACTATGCTATAGTTATTTTCTATGACCTTTAGTCAGTATCAGTCTTGGAATACCAGGAAGAACAGCTGTTTAGAACAATTATGTTACTTTTGGCTAAAGAGGTGTCATTAGCAATAACAATAGTACCAAACAGCCTAGAAAATGACAAACTGAGGTAGCCATTAATTTGCCACCTTTAACCATATGAACTAGATTTGTGGCTATATAACAAAATCTGAAAAAAAAATCTCAAAAAAAAGTCCAGAAAATTATATGCAATATACAAGTCCTTAATATGCCAATGTTTCCCTCAGGCGTTAAAATTTAAAAGGGCTAGGGAGAAAACAGAGAAGTGGCATAAGAGGAAGGGATTAGAAGGAAGGCTGGAGGACAACAAGGGGTCACACTAACTTTGGGGAACTGGTGCAGAAGACCAGAGGGAAAGAGAGGAGGAAGAGATAAAAAGAACAGAACAGAACCACAAACAGGCTAGAAACCACATGTAGACTCATCAAAAAACAAGGTCGAACAATAGAGAGAAAAAAATAAAAACAAAACCACCACCACCACAACAAAAAACAAGAGAAAGAAAGAGGCCGGGTGTAGTGGCACACGCCTGTAATCCCAGCACTCAGGAGGCTGAGAGGCAAGGGGATCGTTGGGAGTTCAAGGCCAGCGTGGGCTACAAAGTGAGCTCAAGTCCAGCCGGAACTGCATAGGGAGACCCTGTCTCAAAAAGACAAAAAAAAGAAAAAAAGTTCACTTCCAGGTTTGTCTCTGCTGTCACTGGTTGACAGCGTGTGGAGACGGAGTCCCGATCCATGCTGATTTATCCCAGCAAGCCAGCAGTAGCTTCCGGGCAGGGTAGTGGGTAATCTCAGTGAGCCTGCACCTTCTGGCTGAGACCAGGCTCATAAGGCCTGCAGCCATCAGTATTCCTTGGGCCTGAGCCCAGCTGGGAGCTGCTAGATGGCGCCAGCAGTGGCTCTGAGTTCTGAGCTCAGCCAGCCCCTCTCCAAGATGGCTCCTGCCAATCACTGCCTCATGTGGAATGACTGAGCCCTCAGCACTCATCACCAGCTAGTGCAGTCATTCACCCCAGTGCTCTCCTGCACTGCTGCTCTCTCCATGGCGGGCTGTGGGGTCACCAGCAGACACTGTGTGTCTGCAGGTCTGAACCACTCCTCTTGGGCGGTGAGTCCTACCTCAGTGAGAAGGTGCTGGCGGCCGCCTCCCTCCTCTTCGTTTTGAAGTCTCTCCCTTCACTCTCCGTGGGCTTCATTTCCCACTTGACGTCTTCCTGAGGGACCCACTTCCCTCCTTGTCTTCCTTGAATTGCTACGCTGTAGTGTCTGGACAGTGACTTTCAGAGAGGCTCTTTGCTGCTTACTGCTCCACTGTCTTGGTGCTCCTCCGAGATACATTTTATTTAGTTAAAGTGTTCAGTTCTTTCCTTTTCCTTTATATATTGCATATTTATTTCTGAAATGGGATCTCACTCTGCTGCCCAGGCTGGCCTCAATCCTCTGGGCTCAGGAGAATTTCCCAAATTGGCCTCCCAAGTAGCTGGGACTATAGACCTCCATCACCGGACCTGGCTCCTCTTTATATACTGTAATTGCTCAAAAGACCTTCATTAATACTATTTATAACTTGGTGACTTTCAAAGTTTTCTTTCATATATTTATATTGTTATTTTATAAAACTATAAAAGTGGTAACATTTTAAATACATATCCCAGTTTTGATAACTGTGCCTCTCGGCTTGCAATTCAGAGCGCTGGGCCTCTTTAGGTTTGCAGACCTCTCTGGCTGGGACACCTGGTGAGTCCCATCTTGCACACAGCCTGCACTGGTGAACAGGGCCCACATACAAGGGACACAGTCTGTCACATGGGGATAGTGGAAGGTCTGCTTGTGAAGTTCACCTGGGGAAGACCTCTGAGCTGTACTGTAGTTCATGGCTTTGTGGTCCAACCTATTCCTGTGGCGATGTATGAAATGGATACTGCTACCTGGATCCCGAGAGGGGGTTCTGCCTTGCAGAGCTGGGTCTCCTTGGAAACCAAAGTGAGGGTCAGCTCCTGCCCAGCACAGGCTCCACAGGGTTCCTGAGCAGAGCATAGGTTCCACTTTACGTGGGGACTCTGCCCTGAAGTGCCAAATTTTTTTTCTTTTTTTTTTTTTTTTTTGAGACAGGGTCTTGCTATGTAGCCCAGGCTGGCCTCAAACTGGCTGCAATCCTCCTGCCTCATCCTCCTAAGTGCTGGAATTACAGGCAGGCAGCACCATGCCCACCCTCTTCACCTCTTTTCATTCCTAGTCTTTTATAAATTTCTCTGTCAGGATCAACATAGATTTCATGGGACTGTCCTGGCAGTTTGCAGAATGACTCAAGATGACCGCAGCTGACTGTCCAATCACTGTAAGGGTGACATTCGGGCCCTTGGCTGGGTCTTGCAAGTTGTCCTTGCAGGTGCTGCTTGGGAAACTGAGCGGGAGCCCCTCTGTGGCTCAGGAACAGTGCCAGCTGCACCAGCCGCCCAGCTGCCCAGTGCTGCTGCCTGGGGAGTGCGGGCCCCGCCCCCAGGCTACTTTCAAGGATGCTTCTTAACTGCGGTTGTGCAGTTGAACATTTTAAGGTGCTGGATGATTTCTTTCAGGGTTTGGAGTGGGGGCAGCTCTTGTTACTCAGTTCAGGCGGGCCTGGACTTTACGGGATCCTGCCTCAGCCTCCCAAGCGCTGGGCCCACAGCCAGGCAGCACACCTGGCAGGAGCTCCATGCTGTCTTACACATCACATCACAGCACCGTGCTCCCTGCCTGCCGTGCGTCCTCTGATCGCCGTGCATACCGTGCCTGCTGCGCCAGGGAGTTTCCCCTTCGGTGTGCCTTGTACGGTAAGGCTGTGACCTGAACACCTTTCGTATCTGTCACAAATGTTTTCCACTTAGTGGAATCTAGGGTTTCAGGACTGGGGACTGAACCCAGGGCCTTCACATGGAGCTCCATTACATCCCCATGCTTCCTTAACTTTTTGTATTTTGAAACAGGATCTCACGAAATCATTGAGTTGCTGGATTCAGATTTGTGATCCTTCTGCCTCAGCCTGCTAGAATTCTAGGACAGTAGGTATGAGGCTCCATGCACAGCATGATCTAGCTTTTCCTTAGTCTTTTTTTTTTTTTGCAGTTCTGGGGTGAAGTTGCTAAATTGCCCAGGATGGGCTCAAACTTGTGACTCTCCTGCTTCAGCTGCCCAGAATGGTGCACGACACGCAGGGAAATCCTTCTTCCTGCCCCTCCCTCAATGGCCGTCCATCCTTCTGGGAACAGAGACTATTTCCAGGTGGAGCAGCGGGGAGGGAGAGGCCCAGGCTCCTCCCGCAGGACCAGCTCCATTACCGCTGCCCTCTGGCGGCACAGGTGGACAGTGAAGCACACTGACTGCAGTGAGGGGAGTAAGTGGTCAGATGGACTCCAAGGGTACAGCTGAGGTTTTTTTGTTGTTGTTTTATTGTTTGTTTTTTGTACCTGGAATTGAACTCAGGACTTTGTGCTTGCCAGGCAGCCACTTGTGCTACGGTTTTTTTTGTTTTGTTTTTTGGTATTTTTTGGTCTCGATATGCAGTTTAGGCTGGCCTCATGTTGTAGCCCAGGCTGGTCTCGAACTTGCAACAATCCTCCTGTCTCAGCCTCCCAAGTGTAGAGCTGAGTTTTAAATAACACATCAGATAACTCAGGACCGACCTAAAATACCCAGTTCCCTCGTGCACCACTCCTGGGGGCAGGCGCCCGGACCCTGTGAGTGCCCGGAGGGGAGCGGGTCTGATGTCCCCAGGGACGTTAGCGCCAGGTTAGTCTCAGTCAGCTGTGGCCTTAACCAACCTGGCTCCCAAACTACGTGCAGTGAGAAATCAAAATTCCACCCCAAAGGAAGTGAACAACAATAAACTTCCCCGGCTAGCCTGCCCTACTGCAAGTCAAATACAAAGGCAGTTTCTGTACTAGCAAAATACTTTTATTATTTTTATAATGATAAAACAAGGAAAGTAAAGACTTCTTTTTGGTGTATACTAGAGTTAAGGGAAGTGGAAGAATAAAGGGATTAATAGGACTTTTATGTACTTCTGAGGACCATAAAAAGTTAACAATACTAATTGCCATAAAACTTATAGCTCCCCAAAAACAGATATATAAAGGATCATAGTTTTAAAATCTATAAAAGTAAAAAATATACAGTTGGAAGCTCTAACGCTTACTCCATCTTCAATATAAAACTGTAAACATTTATTTACACAAAGCACATGTGTATAACGAAAGTCCAAGCACCCTTTCTTCTGAGTTGTGGCTCTAGGAAGATGGGGATGTGCATGGCAGCAGTCATCGCCTCCCGACCCCCCAAAGCCAGGTTCATAAATAAAGCCACGGGCAGCTCCTGGAGGGCCCCAAGAATCACATTTTATTGCTATGACACTGCAGCAAGTGAGAAGCCCGCCGTCTGCCCAGCCGGCCTGGGCCTCAGGCAGACAGCGGGCTGGCGGGCACCCGGCGGGACCGAGGCAGGAGGTGGCCTGGGGAGACAGGAGTGGAGCAAGGATCCAGAACCAGCCGTCGGCCTGGCTTTCAGTAGAAAACCTGCTGAAGCCACGCTCTTCCCCAAGCTTGGGGAACTTGCTCCGAGGGCGGGGTCTTCACTGGCTTTGGGACTCCTCCGGCCTTGAGAGCTAAGCTGCCTATCTGGGGACGGGGAAGGCAGTGCAGGGCTGAGAGAGGGCCACACCCGCCAGTGGTGGCAAATGGCTACAAAACAAGAATCTGAGGGTCCAAGGAGCCCTGGCAAAAAAGGCACTGCTGGTGCAAACAAATTACCAAAGTGACTTGGGCTAGTCACGGATTTCCTTGGCTCAGTTCCTGACGCGACACTGAATGATGCACTTTGAGACACCAGGGAAACGGACACAGGGTGCGGCTTCTCCAGACTGCGCGCAGCCCTTCTCCTGGGCAGACTCCTCCCTCCGCCCTGTGCGCACGGCGGGTCTCGACCACGCTCCGCATCTCGCTTTCCAAGTGGCCAAGTGCCGCATCTGGCTTCCACAAACAGCCCTCGCCGCATACCCTGTTCTGTGGGCTCTCGGCTCAGTGAAGCTCATTAAGACCTTCAAAGAGAATCTCCCAGAACCCTTAGAGAGGATGTGTTAGTGTTATAAAGCAATCTTTAAAAGTGCAAGTCACCTATCGCGGAGGAGAAGTCAGCAAAGTAGAACTCCTTCCCCAGGGCCGGCCTGCAGCCTCTCTCCCCAAAGCTTTACCTAAGGAATTTTTCTGGCTTCCGTTTCTCCCTCCACTGTAGTACATCACTGCTTCCCACCTGGGCTGGAGAGGAAAAAGGGGAGGCAGAAAGGAAGGTCACGGGAAATGCAGACGGGCTGGGGAAAATCTGTGTGCACAACTTACGCCCCGCCTGTTAAACACAAGCTATCGGAGAAACCGCAGGAGGTGGGGCGCCCTAACATGACACCAGGCCCCCAAATCTCCACCTGCAGCCTGGGCTTCTGGCACGTTCAGAGTGACACTGAGAGGGACGCACTAGGGAGCAGGGGCAGCTCTGGGACGCCCACCTGGGTCTCCAGGTCGGCCCCCTCCCAGTCTCCTGACCCTTTTGGCATCTGCAGTCACAGGCTGCGCTGACGGAAGTGCCTTTCCCGCCACCCTCCTCCCCTGAGAGCCGGCAGAGCAGGAAGACAAGGCTCTTTAGTGGGAGGAAACTCTAGGTTTCCAATGCCTCTTCATCACTTTAAACCATCACCTACGCTAATCTGTGTAAAATTTTCAAAAAATTCTTTTCTATGCTACGAATTACAAATAATTCTGCTATTTAAGGTTTCGACCAAAACCTGTGCCCAACACTGAGGCAAGTGGAGAAATCCTGCAGAGCCCGCTCCATGGCTCCACTGCATGTCACACTGCTACTGCTGGGCGTTCGGTCACGAGGCGGGGAGACCACCTTTAGAACCCTGTTCTGCTGCCCAGCACCAGGCAGTGATTTCAGCATACGGGCCGGGGCCAGCCCGATGGACCGAACGTGCTGGCCTGGGCCCCCCAGACCCGGACCAGCCGGGGCCTCTGCTGCAGCCTGGGTTCCGCCTGCCCAGCTGCCTGGGCCATGGGCTTTTGGTCCAGAGTAGTTGCTCTTTCTTGAATCTGGGAACAAAAGTAGAGGACAGCTGAGTACTAAAGCCACCACAAACCCTCCACTACTGAGACCCTAAAAAGTCATCCAACTCATTTATCCACTCCTCCGAAGTCCTGTTCTTCAGCAGGGAGTCGATCAGGTCGGTGTGTCCGGCCACACTGGACAGCCCGCTGCCTGGCTGCCCACTGTAGGCAAAGGGCAGCTCCTGGCCCGCAGTCCGCACAGGGTAGGCCTGAGCACAGTGCAGTCCTGCACGGCCGCCCATCTGCGAGGCGGGGCTCTGCCCGAAGGCGCTCAGCTCCGGCCCCGCGGGGCTCAGGCCAGACAAGGCGGGCTGCGGGGCTGTCTGCGGGGGTGCAGGGGCAGATGCACCGGTCCTCTGCTGCGTGCTCACCGGGGGCAGCATGGACCCTGCCGCAGCGGCTGAGCTCATGGGGGCCATGGGCCTGCTAGGCATCGCTGGGGAGAACTGCGGACTGGACAGCTTCAGGTGGGCCTGCTGCATGTGGAAGGTGGAGGCGCCAGTGAAGGGGCTCACGCCGCTGCTCCCGGGGGTCTGGCTATTCAGGTTCGGCATTCCCTGGTGCTGCCATGAGGCGTTCTGGCCTCCGATGGCTGCTGGCAACCTTGGGACGGGTGGCTTGGTTAAGCCAGAGGTCAGAGTCCCCTTGTTGTGCTGCTGGGAGAGGCCAGAGCTCCCCAGAGAGTTCTGTCCATAGGCAGCTGGCACCGCTGTGCTCTGGCCCACGCCTGGCTGCCTCGGAATGTGGGCGTGTCCATTGGCAGCCTGTGGCGGGGCCTGGGCAACCATCTGAGTCATGCCTGATGCCAGGCCATAGAGACCGCCCTGAGGCATGCTCTGGGAGCCGGGGAACTGGGCGACACCCCGGTCCTGTGGGCCTGAGTTGGAGGGGATCGAGGAAACCGAGGTGTGTCCAGGACCCATGGGCATCAGATTCCCAGGCTGAGGGAAAACGCGAGGACAGGTGGAGTTGGACGGACCCAAGTTGTTCATGCCAGACACAGCAGCCGCGGGTCCTAGAAGACAGAAGATTGTCGATCAAGCGGGCCCTTCCCGGCCGCCACCGGGAGACACCTCTGAGCCCCAGGCTGCAGCCCCTCTCCTGCAGGCGAGAGGTAGCGTCTTAACCCCGGACAGCTCATGGGGCAGAGAGGAGAACCCCGGGAGCTGCAAGACCAGTCTCCCACAGGACAGATGAGGCCAGGTCTCGGACAGGGTGGGGCTCAGGGAGGGAAAGCCAGTTATCTGTCCATTTGCCTTTCAAATACCCTCCAGGGTTCTGCTCTGGGTCCCGGGGATTTCACGATGATCACCCGAGCCTCTGCCTCCAGGAGGTCTGGCCAGCACAGTGCGACTCAGCCTGTGTGAGCATCAGGCTGCAGGTGCCAAGGGTTCGGTGCGCAGGAAGCTTTGGGGAAGGAGGGAGCGAGAAGGCGGCAAGCGCTGGGTTGGAAAGTATAAAGCTGAGCAGAGCAGCAGTTTAGAGAACACCCCAAGCAGAGCAGAGTGCGGACAAGCACAGGGCGGGGGAGAGGGAGGGTGCAGTCTGCTGCGGACTCAGCAGCTATTTAAAAAGCGCCCACACGGCACCAGGCACTGCACTGGGGAGATGTCAGGGGAGGCCCTTATTCTCGTGGAACCTGCTGGCCAGGGCTCTGGCCTCAACAATGGCCACGAGGGGACACCATTAACCAAGATGGCTCTTCTGGGTAGGACAGTCACTATTTGGGGGTTGGCCAAGACTCAGTACTTCGTCTTTCCTCTTCCTCTCCATTAGCACTCAAGTAAGAATGGGCTGAGAGCCAGGTGTGGTGGCGCACATGCCTGTCACCCCAGCACTCAGGAGGCTGAGGCAGGAGGATTGCCATGAGTTCAAGGCCAGCCTGGGCTACACAGTGAGTTCAAGGCCAGCCTGAATTACACAGTGAGACCCTGTCCCAAAAAAATACCCTCCTCAATACCCCAAAATACCAAAAAACAAGAATGGGCTGATGGGCTGGGGATATATCTCAGCGGCACAGCACCTGCCTGGCAAGCACTAGGTCCTGAGTTCAATTCCTAGTGAAAAAAAAAAAAAAAACGAGGCTGAGGAAATGAGAGCGTTGACACCCATTCCAACATGAGGAGGGGCTGTGCTCTAAGACACTGAGGGGGTCGCAGACTGGGCCCCAGGCTCACACACGTGCCCACCTAGTCTCTCTGGGACACGTGGCTGCAGCCCACTCCTCCAGAACACTTCTTAGGGAGGGCCCCTGACTAGAGAGGCAGTATGCAAAGTGTCCCAAGAACGAGCTAGGCCAAAGCAGATCAGATTTGACTGTAAAATCTCCATGCATGCAGCAACCGCTCAGGCAGATTAGCTGGCACATCTCAGGGGTCACTGCTGAGATAGTGTGCTTCCTCCCTCTCCTGGTGACTGTCCAAGGCTGACACTGCTATCTGTGACACCACAGCGAGTACAGAGGTAAAGAAAAGAATCCAGGGGCTGGGGATTTAGCTCAGCGACACAGCGCCTGCCTAGCAAGCGCAAGGGCATGAGTTCAATTCCTGGTACTGGAAAAAAAAAAACTATAAAAAACAAAAATGAAAAAAAAATACAAGTAAGACCAAATCACTACAGTCCTTAAA